CCCCTTTCCATCTCCCTGATTTTTTTTTGTCAGTGGCCGTCCATTTCTTCACATTACCAGTTTCATATACAGAATTGACACATGCAAGGGTGAATTTACTACCTTACAATTCCTGTAAGCTCATCTGCTCCCATGCCTGCAACATCAGATAGCCTGATTAGACTTTTGCCTCAATGAGATGAAGCAGCAGCACTGCTGCCTAATCCCATTTTCTGCCCCAATTGAGTAAGTTGTTCAACAAACTGCATCCCTGTGAGAAGTTCAGTTGTTCCATATACAATGTGCTTCACAGGCTGCTGACGTTGAGCCAACTCCTGCAATCCTTCATATTCCACATAATTTCCACCACCAATCATGAACACAATCGCCTCTTTAAATGGTCCCTTCAAATGAGCACCAACCCCTGAGTTTGACTTTGGAGCACGTGGATCAAACACAAGGTATGATTCAATTTCAGGATTTGGCCTACCTTCCATCAGGGCTTCAACAGCCCTTGTCAAAGCAAGCTGTCGATCACCTGACAAGAGATTCTTCATTCCTGCTGTCACGGCACTGATCGACTGCCCATACAACTTCTCAGCCCAATCAACAATATTACTTTTGCTAGCAGAACTAGCTGATGCCAGGGAAATGTTGAGAGACTTTATTTTCTTTACATATTGATATGCACACGTGTCCACCTCAGACTCTCTTAGTGCTGCCTCCACTGCTTCCAGTTCTGACTGGGGGGTGGTTTCTGAAGAAAGAAGGTAAGTTATAGCAAACCGTAGCTTATCAACCTTTGTACCTTTGCCTCCAAGAACGCTAAGAAGTTCATTTCTATCAATACTTCCCTTGGTAAGCATATCATTCTCCTTCTTAGCATATGAATCCAATGACCTTTCCTTGATCTCCCCCAACAAAACAGTGGCAATGTTGGTATGCTTATCAATAACCTGTTTCCGCTCAGTCAGTTCAGGCAGCGAGTTCACTGCATTCATCAAATGCTTTGTATTTCCAATCAAATCTGTACCATCAAATTCAGCCCCATCTTTCCCCCCAGCCCTCTTGTTCACCTCCTCAACATCCTTCTTATATTTATTCAACTGAGTCTCTATCTCCACAGCAACTTCTGGAAATTCCAAAGACCCATTTGCTACCCAAAACGGATCCGAAGCATCCAATATATAAGAACTACGCCCTCCTTTCTCCCCTTTCACGGTCAATGCATTGAGTTTCAATCCGAGAACATCATGAACAAGTGGCCGATACCTAAAATCATGCTGAATACCAACTGAAAGCTCAAAATTCCTATCGAAAATACACAAAATAGGCCTTTGAAAAGAACTCCCAAAATTTCCACCTTCAGAAAACAAATTATTCTTCGAAATCAAATGATCCCTCAAACGCATATCAAGTGCTGCAGCAACCATCTCCGCAGGCCCACCTCGTGGACACCTAATAATGGGAACAACAGCAAGTGTAGCCAAAACACAAAACAACCCACTAACTACCTTCTCAATTATCTCCTCAATTTCTCTATCCCCAGCTGATGGATCATTCAATTGAACATAACAAGATGGTTGTGCAAGTGAAAACATATTATCCTCTAGTGTAATAAATTCCAAATACTGATCAAATACTTTTGAAATCCTACCAACTGCATCACTTTGTAATGTTCCTGAAGCTAGATCTTCAAGTAAAGGACGAGGTAACGAAGACGAGAAATTCAAATGAAAACTTTGATATAGTGATCGAGATGCATCAGTTATAATTCGTTGAATATTGAATTGATTTGGTTGTATAAAGTAAACAGCAGGAACATCAGGAATCATTTGCCTTTCTTTATCAATTAAGAAATAAACAGTTATACCATGTTTACGTAGATCTTTGATGTGGATTAATGGTGATAGAATATCTCTACAGAATTTGTCGAAGATTAGTACTTTGTAAACTTCTTCTTTTGCTGATGTTCCATTTGAATTTGATGGTTGATTTAGATTCAACATTCGAATTATGCAACCTGAAGAGACAAATTAATTGGAAATTTAAATCAAAATGAAACTTAAAATTGAAAAAA